GCCTTTCTCCTCCTATACGCATGTCTCTGCCGTGCCGTGCACATCGCGCGCCACGTCTGACAGCGTCGAGCGACGCCCGCCAGCGTGTCCGCCACTACTACCGGCTAGCTCGACCACGCAGGTATTGCTGGCGGGCTTGAAGAGGAGCGCGCCTGCTTTGCCACGCCGCGCTCGCCTTCACTCCTCCCCAGACCTTTTCCTTTCCTTCCGCAGAGCCATGAGCCCCGAGCTCCGCGCCTTCCTTGAGGTCGCGCTCGAGCTTACTCCGCCTTCCGAGCACAGGTCGGGCCTCCCCGCGTCTCGCCGCCGACGGCCATGGCGCCGCTGTGCTCGGCCGCCATGGAACCCGTCTTCCTTCTCCCCTCCAGCCTCGCCTAGCTACCCTACCGAGCTCGCCTTCTCCTCGCCGTCTCCTCTGGCTCGCTCATTGGCAAGACGGCCATCCAGCGAGCCCGTCGTCGTCGCTGGCCATTGCCTTGGCCTCAAGACAAGGCGCTGCTTGCACTCGGTGCCGAGCCGAAGGCAGTGGGGGGGGGTTGACGCGCTGTGGGCCGTCTTCCTTCCCTCGCGCTTGGGCCGCGCAGGCCGGCTGTGGCCGTGGGCCAGTTCATTTCCGTGGGCCGGCCCAGTAGCATTTAAATGATTTGTTTTCAATTTATTCATTATTATTTGAAAACAGAAATGGTTTGAAAAATGTTTGGGTACTCAAATTTGCTCCAAATTTGTTGAAACAAATTTTGCTAGGTTCCTTATCATCAGATCTACTTGGGAAAAATTGTGCATGTCATTTTTGAGATACTTTTCTATAGGATTTTATTTAATCTTGAATATTGCTGATAACTTGAAAAATATGTAGAAAAATATATAGGCTTCAGAAAAATATGATTCCAAGTTTGTTAATCTTCTTATATCATGTACTTCCTAGGAAAAATATGTTTCATGCATGTGCTGTGGGAAAATTTTGAGGTGTAGTTCAAGTACCTTTAATGGCTGATTTTTGTTATTTTTGCTAGAGCACAAATTTTGTATAAAACATGCATGTGACAATTTTTGTACAGTGATTATATACTATAAAGAACATAGGAAAAATACTCAATCTGTTGTTTGACACTTTTCATAGTACAAAGTAATTTCATGCTCATTTTTATGCTATAGCTTGTCATTTTTATGTAGGATAGTTTACTTATCCAAATGCCATGAAATTTTTATGGTATTCCATTTAGGGTAGTATTATGCTACTGTATTTTTCTCAGATTTTTAGGAGCATCAGAAATATATGTTGCTATTCAAACCTATTATTAATTAGGGTTTAAGCAAGTGTTGCCTTAAGTGTGATTAAGAAATTAGTAAAGCTTTGGTGTATCTTTGAAGCATTTAATAAAATATGTTGACTTAACATATTGGTAGTAGAAGAGAATGCAGTAGATGGCATGTGCTTGTAGCATAGTTTCTTGGATGATGTTGACTACCTTGCCTTTCAACATATCCATTGCATTCATCTCCTTGATGCACCGATTGCATAGGCACTTACACGCATTGCATCATACACAGATCGCAAACCGAGAACCCAAATCGTCATTCCCGAGGAGCCCGAGGAGCGGCTTCGAGGTGCAAAGAAGCAGAAGTGCCGAAGTCGACGAGGAGGACGTTGAAGAACTTCCGGAGTGCCCCGATCACCGCCCAAGCTCCTTGAGAGAGGCAAGCCGGAGCATCTTTCTCCCGGTTTGCAATGATTTCGTTAAAAGCTTTACTTGAAATTGATGCATTATGTTCGGGAGTTGTTTGCAACCGTTCTTTGCATTATACCTTGTTTACCTTTGTTATACTATATCCTTGTTACCACGGTATCCGCAATCAGTCAATGCTTAGGTGGCTTAGACCGTAGAAGTCGGGTGATTTCCACCACTGCGAGCTATAGGTGGTTACCCGGATCTGTTTGGATGGCTATGAAGTCATGGTATAACTAAGTGTTAAATGAAGTTGAGACCCAAGCGAGACTTGCGGGGTTTTGGACCGTAGTGTTTCCGTCTCAGTGTCGATTAAGGACCGACCGTTGTTGGGCCTCGAGTCATGTTGAACGATGCCTTACATTTAGTGGGCCGGATAAAGTACCTTCCGACCGCTGAAGTGGGGAGATTTTCGGGCCGAGTAGATTGCCCAGCCAGACTTTGTGTCAAGGCAGTGTGGTAGGACACGGGGCGGGATGATAAGACCAAAGTGCGATCGGTCGGCCCCGGTACACATGTGGTTCTGGCAAACTCGAGATACCGAAAAGTTGACTCGGTGATCAATATCTCACTTTAGCGGGTGAGTGAGATTTGTGTAAGGAATAAATCACCAGCTGGTTAGGAATCGATTCGAATCGCCATCGCTCCTGGATAGTGAGCACTTGACTTGAGTGACTTCATCGTAGTAAATGTTTATGGAACACTTGGACAGTTATAGTGAATATGACAAGATGGAAGTTGTTTAATGATCGATGGTTATCATTAATTGCTTAATCACATGTTTACTCTAGTATAGGTGCAAATCTAGTCGACAGGTTAATAATAATTAACTTGACAATAATGCTTTTAGAAAGGTTCTTGAAATGCTAAAAATGCTTCTTTTGCAAATGAGTCAGCTACCCTACTATAATGCCCGCGCATAATCCTTGGTGTCATTTATTTTCGGTTATGTCGGGTAGTCCGGCCGAGATACCTTCTCGTACTCGTGGTTTTATTCCCACTTGTTGCAGATGGGCGGATGTACTATGGCTCTTTTGTATCAACCGCCTTTATCCTGCGATGGGTGATGCTTAGGACCATGGGCATGGTCATTCCTTACGCCTCATCTAATGCTTTTGTTGGAGATGATCATTCGGCCGGCACTATATTTGAACTACGTGTGAGTGTGTGTGGTTTTAAACAAATGACTTCCGCTACTTTTATTCGAACTTGTTTTGTAATAACTATGTTTAAACTCTCGATGTATCTCATTATGGAAACTTTTATGTAATATGTGATTGGTGTGACGCTAAACTTATTACGATCATGGTGGGACACGAGTTGGTTTGAAATCCTTCGTGATTTCACGGACTACCCGGGTTATACGGGCTTAAGTTTGCTCAATCGTCTGCTCTGGTGGATGATTTTCTTACTTAATTTCGTATAATTGGTCGGTTCTGTTACAGAGAGGGTGCCGCGCCGGGGTGGGGGGAGCTGCCCACTCTCCTGCAACACCGCTGCGCCACCTCCATGGATCTCGCCGAGGTGGGAAAGAGGGCCACCGGATTTGCGACATTGGGGCTCCCGGTGGGTGAGGACGCCAGGGTGGAGGAAGGGGCGCCGCCGTGGGGGAGGAGGATGCCGGGATGGGGGAGGGCGCGTGCTGGGGTGGGCAAGAGATAGAGAGAGAGCGGAGCAGCAGGGAAGCACGAGAGAGGAGCTCGTTGGGCAGGCGGCGCATGCGGAGCAAGGCGAGGCGGCTAGGAGTTGATTTTGTGTTTTAATTTATTTAGGCGAGCGACGTGTGTGGTAGTGAGGTAAAGTGGTGGTGCACGTCACACCACGCGTCCGGAGGGGAGTCGTTGGCGTCAGACGTCCTATTTGTAGCATTACCGTTAGAGTAAGAGAAGGGATAGTAGTTTGGTTGGTGGACAAAGTTTATCTTAGGGTTTGTGCTCATAAGAAATGTTTGGTTCAATTGCTACTTCTCACGTAGGCACCTACCTAGCCTTGCCAACCTCACTTAACCTTGCTCAACTAGAATAGGAGAAGGGTTAGCAGTTTGGTTGGTGGCCAAGGTTATTTTGGGGTTTGTGCATAGCTAGAACCTCATCTAACCATGCCCAACTAGAATAGGGGAAGGGTTAGCTTTTTGGTTGGTGGCCCAAGGTTATTTTGGAGTTTGTGCTAACAAGGAATGAATATGAGAATGGTCAGCTTGATAGGTGAGGAAATTTATCTTGAGGTTTGTGCGGACAAAAAAAAATCTTATTATCATACGAGGGCTAATTTAGCTCACCCAAGGTGGCAAGGCTAGGGTTGCTCTTGCTGGCAAGGCAAAGCAAAACTTTGCCCAAACCAAACTGATCCTATATTTTATCTGATCTTATATGTTGTTAGATTAGTTGATTCTATAAGTTGTTGGAATCCAAACAGGACCTATATTTTGGCTGGTGATGTAGGCGTAACCCACTCAAAACTATCGCCTAATTTTTGTTTCATGCCGCGAAGAACGATTTCACGTGGAATTCCTACGTAACATTCAAAAACAAAACAAGGCCAGCTCTAAGCCCACGTTACACTGAAAAATAAAAAAACAAGGCCAGCTCTAAAGCCTTTAAGCATCCAGCTCGACTCAGATAGTCAGACAGCACATGGCTTCATCCTGCTCTTGTCGGTCGAGTGGTTTGCCGAATGATTCACTCGGTCAACAGCTGACCTGAACAGTAAGAACATCACGTTTTTCTTGAGATAAAATAGCATCCATGCTATAGGCATCAGAAGTTACTCTTTATTACTAATACAGATAGAAGTTCAAAGAGTGGAAGCGTCAAAACGAACGGCCTGGCAGCCTGCAGCTTGACTCGCGCGCAAGACTCCAGCTGTCTAGATGAAAACCTCCGATAAATGATTGTCCAACAATCCTAGGCAACATGGGTACATTCAATTTCAAATCAAAACTCAGGGCCCCGTTCGCTTGGCTGAAAAAACGAGCAAAAGCTGAAATGTTACGAGAGAAAAACACTGTTCCGACTGAAAAAAAGAAGCCGAATAAGCCGGCTTTTAAGGTAAGCCGAACGGGCCAGGGCATCTAAGTTCAGGCCTTCAGGCTTGGCAGGTGAAAAATTCTCGAGAAAACCCTAGAAACAACTGGCTTGATTTCCACACCTGCCATGCCCCTCAGATAGTCAGATGCCTGGTGGTTCTGCTTTACGTCATGTCTTTGCATCCAGAAGCCTAACAAAGACAAATTGCTGATTGCATCGTATCAGGGACAACAGCACTGTTTGTATGTTACTGAGTGTTTCTTCTTGGTCCAAATCGGAGCTGCAAGTTGTCCAAGACGCGGGCAACGTTGAGAAGCCGTGGATCGTCAGAAGGAATCTCTCGCGCCTGAATTTGAAACAAGAGAGCATGAGCAGAATACGAATCACAAACATCCAGAGCTTAGATTGCTAACAAGTGACATTAGACAAATGATTTCAAAGTACAAACAGTTCTGAGACCCATATGAATATGTACATCAAGGACCAATATAGTAACTCACTCTAGTTAGGAAGCATTTAATTATTCATAGATGCCTTCAAGGTGAAGAAAGTGTACAAGTCACAAGTTCGAAACACTGAAGCTTACCGTCAAACCCTTGTGGTATGCCTCAACAGCAGGAAGATTTGGAGTGACATTACGGCTTTGCAGGAGATCCCAGACATAATTTGCAGTTGTATATCCACCAGTCTAGATAAATTGGCCAATTTAACTTCAGTCATCCAACCATCTCAGTGAAGCAATTTATGTTCATTTCAAAATGCTAAGCAAGTATCAAAAAACAATTCATGCATTCATATTTGGTAGTCAAAGGGCAGGAGTTGGTGGTTACCGTTTCACCGGCAGCTGCAAGTAGGAGATCAGTTCCCAGCCTGGCATTCAAGAAGAAATTTCTTGAAATCATTTTCTCCTGCAAAATATTATTGATGTAAAATTTCAAAATTTTGAAGCCAGTCAAAACTATACAGCAAAACTGAAACTGCAAAGAACAGAAAATTACTATAGTTTCTTGAGCAAGTTGCATTCCTCTTGGAGTGTACCCAATCATAGCTCCCTCAGCAAGTGTCTGCATTTCATAGATGAAGACTTCAGGAGAACATATGCAGCATTACATGAGCAAAATAAGAAAGATCGACTGATTTTGACTTGATAGAAGGTGGTTATTTTATTATGGCCATAGAAAAGTCATTTTACCATTCAGTGAGGAATATTATCTTTAACAATCCTAAGATTTCATGCATCTGGTTTCTTTTTGGATGGCAGAATTTGTTCTTGCTTGTTAGTTCGTTCTTTTAATTTACTATCTAACTTAATATTTTTTCACAGTATTTGGCAGTAGACAGGTCTGGCTAAGCTTTGTCAATTCCTTGATGAGAAGATTTGTTGTCAATTAGGTGTGACTCACCACATACAACTCCGCGGGTGGGGATCTTGAGCTTGAATACTCTTCAAACATCTTAACAGCAGAATCAATATCTCCACACCGTAGGTAACACCTTTTTCAATTGGAGGACATCAAATCAATAATAACTAGAATAAAATGGAGAAAGCATGATAAGACAAAAAGGATAGACGCTTAAGCTATGTACACTCATCTTTATAAATACAATGATTCTGTCATTATTATTAATTTAGAATAATGAGATCTCATTGTGACATGCTTATAAAATGAGTTCATGTATATCTGAATAAAGTTAATAATGATAAATACACAAACTATCAGACCTTAATTTTCAGCGCTACAAGAAAATAGCAAAATATCAACATTACATATTACCTCATAGCTTGCATCACCATGTAGGCATCATAAGTAGATCCATCTCTATTATCCTTATTGAACATTTCCAGAAGTGCTTCAAGTGTCTGATTTTTTTTGAAATTTGAAGTAAACGAAATTTCAGAATAAGCTAAACTTACCACCTTTTGGTGATTTCAAAAAAAATATACTAGTGGTAGAAACAATTACAAAGTTAGGGTTATGTCGATTGTGCATGGCCAACGTGCAGTAACCAAAATATATAGTGGAAAATGGTAATGCACAAGCAAAAGATCACCTCTTTGCTCCGCAGTTCTGCACAAGCATGGATAGCAACATGATAAACTGTATGTTGTTTAAAGACAAATCCTCCTCGTCTATTTACATATTCTGCTGTTGGGAGGTTGTATAGCTCTTCCTCTGACACATTCATCATTATATTCTCAGCACTGTCCCTTGATACTCTTTCAACATATTGCCAACCTTTCGACTGCCTGACAAAGTCAAGAATCTGCTTGAAAGAGAAGTTATAGAACATTCAGATTTGGTTAAGTACATCCTTACAGTCTTACACATGCGTACCATACCTTTGCCATGGTTTCCTCAGTGGTTGGTGTCTTGTTCTTGAATGCAGTTATCAGTCCGGCATAACAAAACTTGTTTAATCCAAGACCAGCAGCACTCATATCACTAACTATGGCATACCTATCAAAACAAATTCTCGTTATATAAGTTTCTCGTGTGAGCAAGTAAATAGGTAAACCAGAAGGTGTTGACAACTGAGGGTAAACTATTTCTTGAAAAACTCTAATCAGTCGCAATGTAGTCTCTAGACCAAAACTCCACATGCAAAACTGCTAATGCATTCACAAATAGACTCCAACTCTGATGTTATCAGCAAGAAATTACCAGAAAGTTGCATTACTCTAGCCTTTCAAATCCATGAGATCAATACTTACATATCTCGTATTCTCAAATGAAAGCTAACTGTTAATAGTGTGGATGAACCTCTAACAAACAAAATGCACAGTGAACAAGTACAACTCACGAACTGTCGCTAATCTGTTTTGCTAGTTTGTGTTTGGTAAACTTCAAGCCATTGTGCTAAGAGTGGCCAACCACCATAAATGGCAGTGGCAGGCAACAAGTGATGTAAATTTCAATTTCAATTGTGCATTCTTATATCTGTTGGATCATATAAATACTGTCAAGAAGTGTGCCTTACACTTGATCAGTCTGCCCTGTTGATGCAAGCGCATTCAGTAGACAAATGTAGGTTTCTCCTTTCAACTTAACACCATGTGCCTTCATTTCTTCTAAAAGCTTTGTTACAGATAAAGGACAGGAGCATCAGTGAGCATAAAGAACAAAAGAAAGCTGTTCAAGCATGAAAATGGTACCATAATGATATAACACAGCTAGCATTCAGGTACACAGAAAAACCAACCATGATTGCTGCATCTGAGTTCTTGCATTTTCCACAAGTGGAGATCAAGAAGTTGTAAAGGTTAACCTGGAAAACATTAAGAACATCAGACTGATTGTCTCTTGAAGGTAAAAAGTAACTGGAGTGAATTCAAAGAAGTCAGTGGTCTAACATCAGGCTGCAAACCCATTTCTTTCATCTGATCACGGAAGTAGAGTGCATCTTGTAGCCGGCTGCCTTTCATGGTACCGACTATGAGTGTGTGGAATGTATCCCGCTCAGGCTTCACGCCATCAAGCATCATGTCATCATAAGCATCACGCAGAAGGAAGGGCCTAAAAACAATGAGAATGTAACTGTTAGACTTGCAAAGTATACATGGTTAGAAAATAGAGGTTTCTGACACTGGAGCTGTCATTTTACTCAAACAGAAATTCAAGTCAAGATAAGCATAGGCATGAAGAAAAATGACAGTACAATAGGACACAAAGTAATTTGCTAAAAGTTATATAAAACATAACTTTAAGAAAACAACATACAGGAAAACTAATATCTTAGAAGCCACAAATGAGTAGTCAAACAATCAGGGAAATAAGGCAACCGCATAACCGCATATTTTCCCCTCAGCATATATAGAGAATAATAAAGGAGGCTGTCGAAACAGGCATGGACATCTATGCGTAACCAAGAAAGAAATATGAGAAGCTAACAGGTAGGCCCTTGTGCTCTCACAATTTGACTGCATACAATGCTTTAAGCCATTTGGGAGTAACCGAGGCGCCCCTCAGGGGGGTTACGGGTATTCATGGCAGTCTAGTTGCTCAGGTGGCCAGGCTCACTGACACGCCGAACAAAAAGACTTCCTGAATCAGCATTGGGAATTCCCATGCACAAAAGGGTAAACTGGCCTAGAGCTGCATAATACCAAAGTACAGCTTTCACATGGCCATCAATCCCACAACACAAGGACACAGTGAACAGTCGAATGAGCAAGCACATGCTTGCATACGCAGCACACCATCAACGAAGCAATCGAAACCAATCCAAGGCATATCAACGAAAACGCCCCCCGCTTGGCAATGCGTCGAACAGCTAGCGCGCAGCGGGACGCAGCAAACCATAAACCAACATTCCCTTGCCTGCGCTGGGCGACGAGCGACCCGATGACCGTGTTGTACTCGGAGGTGTTATCGGCGTAGTTCCGGCGCGCGTACTCTTCCGTCGACGTCGCCGCGCCGCGCCGCGCCGTGAGTGCCGCCGCCGCCGCCGCATGGCGCAACCGCCCTGCGCCGCAAATACCCGGAGGTCAGCCGGGAGGAGAGACCCGAGAAGGAAATGGGAGGGGGAGGAAGTGGGAGAGAGAGACCCTGGAGCATGAGGGAGTTCTTGAGGAGAGCCATGGGAGACGATGCTGCGGCACTGCGACTGCGGAGGGGGCGGTGGGAGGCGGACCGGACCAAACGAAGGAGAAGGGTTTAAGGCGCAGGCGCCCGCTGTTGGATCGTGGCCAGGACGGTTGAGACTGAGATGGGCTGAAGCCACTAAAGATTATAATGGCCCAAATAAGCCCACCACCGGCTAGAACCAACTCCGACCCATCGGGAACAAGGTTTTTTTTATTTTTTTAAAGTCCACATTACCTTTATCAACTTTTGTAAATGTCCGCTTTTCCTCTATAAACTCTAAAACCGGGCAAACCACCTCCCTGAACTTTTAAAACCATTCGTTTTACCTCCCTAACCGGTTTTCAAAGGCGGTTTTGTCTTTTTCTTTTTATTTATTTTGGCTGAATTTTTAAAAAATCATAGTAAATAAAAAAAATTATAAAATAGAAAATCTAATTTTGTTGGATTCCACATGAGTAGAGCTACAAAGTGAACAAATAAGATGCTATGCTTTAGTACAAATTGTTCGTTGTAGCTTTAGATCTATGTTTTTCTGTAATTAATTCATAGCTGTAGTTTCCGTGTTTCAATTGTGGTGAAATTTTTATGGTGGCCTAACTATTGTATGCTTAAACTATAGTAAAAATTTCATACTCATTGGGTCATGTATAACTTAGTTATAGATTTATTTAGGTGTATGCTTGTTAAAAAGTATTTATAGAGTTTCAGCTGGATCTTGGATTTGAAATATGTCCCGAGCCTTTAGCTTGCCCTTCACCATTGCCTTGGTCCATCAGCGCCAAACTCTCTACTTGCACTTCACCACCTTAACGGTCCATCATGTCCCAAGCCTTTAGCTTGCACTTCACCATTGCCTTGCACACAGTCCTTCACAAGCCTTGCATTGGTCTTCTCCTTCTCACTATGCTTGATTATTTGAGTTTTCCAACATGCTATCAATCATTTTCATGCCAATGCCTAACTCTTCCTATGAACTAAACCAACTTTCCTTCACACACTTAAATAAAAAGGCTAGTCCACAAGCGTTGTCATTAATTACCAAAATCTAAACAAGGACCTAGATATTTCAACAAGCCATTGTTTCTCAAATTTGTAGACCCTCCCAAGTTTTTCACATTAGCCCCATCCTCTAGGGTTAGTGGGAAATGATTACAACCCACCCTCACTAAAGTATATACAGACTTAGGGGAAAATATGGTTCCCACTCTGTAGATGTAAGAGCATCTCCACCAGATTAAGGAAAACCCATTCCTTTTCCCTATAACCAACAACAAAAGGGGATTGAAGCAAAAAATGCTCTAGCATATCTTGTCTTAATAATTTTTCTCAACCCCTCAAGACCACACCACAATCCCTCAAATGAAGGGGATCTACCACCATTTTTTCTCAATCCACTTTCTTCCTCCTCTAGTCAATACATCACGGGACCACAAGTAGAGAGCTACTACCGCAGTGAGCGTGTGGGCTAGCCATGCCATAGTCGCCTTAGGCTACCACCACGTTGGGCAGGTAAACATAGGCCGCCCGCGCCGCTGCTACGCTGGACCGCCACCACGTCGGGCAGGCGAGCGCACTATCGCCCACGCCGTTGCGGTGGCGGGCAGGCGAGTGTGCAGGTAGGCCACCACTGGCTCGCTAGCCGCGCCCCCCTTACCGACCACAGGAGTGAAGAAGGGGGGGGAGAGAGCCATGGGAGAGAAGATGGATTTGATTTTTTTCAATGTGCTAAAGGAACCTTTCCCTAAAATTAGAATTCATATTTTCTTAATCCCCTATAACAACTTTTAAGGGAAAGAGGAAAGTTGATCGGGTGGAGATGCTCTAAGCCTCTAAGCACATTGTCAATGTTACTTTGAATTGGTTGTACTTGTATATTTGTCTAGGTGTACTTTCCTTTCCCTAATTGATCACCGCCCTTCCCTTCCCACGCCAATAGAAAGCAGAACAACAACGTGCAATCATGCTCCAATACTATGCAGCTAACAAAAGGGAAGGGGAAAGGAGCGGGGGCTCGGGCTCCCAATCGCGACAAGCGCGGCGTGGGCAGAACCCTTGCCATCACCACAGTTAGGCGAGTTGTGTAGGGCAGTAGATAAGAGCAAGGATGATGAGGTGAAGTCCTCCAAGAGGGCAAGGAGGATGAACGCGAGAAGCCAAGACAATGCAGATTTATGGTCAGCTTCTGCTACAGCCAGCCAAGTGGATACAGCGATGGTCTTATCACCCACTGGTGCTGCTCAAGGTGAGGATGGCGATCACATCACCCATTGTTGCTGCTGCTCAAGTGGTCCCCGACAAGGCTAGTGTGGAGGAAGGGTCTCTGGCCCCACTCATTGTCGCCGCCTCAGATATTGATCAGGTCTCCTCTCCTGTTCGGCGCCCATACCTCCCGAGCCATCAAATTCCAAGATGCAAAAATGATGGTCTACTGATGACTATGCTTACCTAGACGAGAAGTACAAGTACAAGGCAAAGCTAGGTATGTTGCTTGATCCACCTTATTTAATTTCCCTCCCCTTTGCGTGCCATAAGGTTATCACTATTTGATTATAATTGGTAGAATCTCGTCAAGTTGAGAATGTATTTTTCATTTTCATTCTACATACACGCAGATCGACAGAAGAAGCTCTTAACTCTTGATGACAGTGGGCCCATTACATGTCTTGATAATGAATCATTGCTCCTTGTTCAAGAGTTCACCACATAGACGGATTTTTAAACTGCCAAGGCTGTTTTGCGTCTTACTTACTATATTTGTACCTCTTTTCTATGAGTTTATATAATACTGATGCAAAATAAAGAAGATTATGTAGAAGCTTTGTCAAGTTTGACAACGTTTGCTTATAGATATAATATACACACACACATTAAATACTATTATCTAGGAGTTTATATAATAGTGCTACAAAATTTTCCAATGTTAGTTAATTGTATATATGGACTATATAATTGCACTAGAATAAATGAGTTTATGTATAAGGTGTGTTAAATGTGCCACTGATTGCTTGTAATACACTATATATAATATACAGATGACAACCTCTTGGCACAATGTTTAGGTTTCTTGATTAAGTTGGACAAGGAAACTAGATGTGGTACTGTTTTGACACTTGTCAATCTATTATGCACTAAATCCCTAAGGAAACTGAATGTGGTACTATTTTGACTTCTGCTAATCTATTATGCACTAAATCCCAAGAGTTGATGTTTGGTCATGCCCACGTGAATATGCTCCTAATTTTAAGATGAGATTGCAAGTCTAATTTAGTTTGTTCTATTCTTCTATCACTTAGATTACTCATCTCGTTTGCTTGATAGACATTTTCTAAAAAAAGATATTATAACAAGACTTTTGTAGTGTTTATTTGTTGCCATTTTTTGGAGGCAAAATATCATTATTCTTTTGTTGTTTGAGGTGCTGATTCATTTATTAGATGCCACTATAAAAATGACACATTAATCAACTATCACAACCACAACAATATTGCACTATTTGAGGTGGTTGTGAAAATGTCTGTCGAGTTACCTCTTAGCACTAAGATGGTAGAATATGGCTAAGAGTCTTTCCTTATTGGAAGAGATGAAAACCTAAACCAAAATTCTTGTCATGTTTGAGTGGAACGTATAAACACTTTTGTATGCTGACTATGGAGTCTGCAAGGTACTAATGTAACTATTCATATGTGTTTAACTTCTGTTTGCATTTGATATAAATTTTCTTATTTTCTCAAGTACTACAAACCATTCTTAACTTTTGTTGTTAGCAAATCTGATATTTGTGACAAATTTATTAGTTTGACGCTAGAGGACCCATCATTAACACAAAAGGAAGAGTTGTGGTGGCCAATCCCACTCCAAAAGCAGCATTCATCCCTACTTCATTTATACTCAGGTGCTTGTGTATGTGGAGGGGTTTGAAGTAAGTATTTTTGCCCCTAAGATATTTTGATGCATAAGGCTTTTCTAGAGACTTAAAAAATCTAGAAAACTTTTTTTGTGGAGGGACTTGAAAAATCCATAAGGCTTTTGTCCCTAAGATCTTAGGGGCAGAGGGTGCATTTCTAGAGGGATTCTGTCCCTAAGATATTTTGTTTACCCCATGAAACTATCAAAAAAAGCCTCGTTTAGGCCCCTACTTGGCTAAGAAAGATTAATGAAAGTTTATGTATTTATATTTACAAGTCTAAACAATCCATCAAAAGAGATAGATTTCTAAGCTTGCTTCCCTGCAAACTGCGTGTGTAATGGCCCATCTATCTCCAACAAGTTGTACTATATGACCACAAAATTGTGATTAATTTGGTAATAAAGCTAGTTTTGTCATATTATCTATGGACAATCCCCCTGATTACAAGTTAGGTCCCACCACTGTGGGCTGAAGTCTCAATCAAAATGGGACATGGGGTGTTTTTTGCAGTTTCCCTAAAATATATGCTGCCATGTTTACATAACTATATACCATTTCATCCATCAACAAAAACTATAAAAGGGTAGTGTACTCTTTGCTTTGACACGTTTGCACCTACTTGCTCCCATTCTAATCCTTATTTGTGTTTTGTTGAAACACGTTGTTATTGCCTTTAGTACCGCTCTCTTCTCTATAACCGTGGGAAATGGAGAAGAGAAAGAGGTTGATAGGATGCTACTGTTTCTTTAGGAGACTTTGCAATTTGATACACAGTGCAAACACACCATGTTTGCAATGACAATCTTTTGTGAAAACAGTAATAATACATTCATTTTACTGAATAACTCCCCCTCAACGCACTCTGCGTTTAATGTAATCCTCACACTCCACCTTTGGTTGTGCCTATCTCTTCTAAAATCTAACCAATATTTATTTGGCATAGGTGTGTGCTCCTCGGCTGCACCTAGAACTGAAACTTTAGTCTATTAAGTTTCTACACTCTTTCCATAGAGAAAAGATCTCTCGCAAGTTCAACATTGATGCTGGTCTTATTGTTGAAGAGGTATATTTTGTTGTTGGTAATAAT